TGTTAGTTTACGAAGCTTATTGGCATTTCTCTAAAAGCAAGAGAACTGTCTGTTGCATGCTGTTGTAAAGGAATCTTAAAAGGAATCAATAAGGTCTTAACTTAATCAGTGGTAAACCATTCAATGTATGATAGAAAGCTAGCCAAAGTTATAAGTTTTACATGAGGTTACCTGTTAAGACAAAGCAATACCAAATATATCAGGTCATTTTCTTTTCTGAAGGAAAGTTCTTAACGTAATTTATAAAGAATACAATGACCATTTAATAAGGTCACAAATTCAAAAAGCTGACTGACCAATGTCATCTTTTCTCCGAACATATAAGTTTTATCTTCGAGTAGGTTGTTAACTGCTTCGAGATCCTTTTTTAGTATTGCAATTACATCATCACGACTATGGCGAGCGACGCCATTTTCTATAAGTCTACCATGTATCTTAAACAAGCATTTGTTGCACAAAACTGTTAAACACCATCATCATTTCAAATATCTACATACCAGTGTTAGACCTGAGAAAATAATCAACTAAAGTCGCTAATACTACTATAAATCTCAAATGTAAATCATTTGTTGTTTTCAAAATTTATAAAATTTATTCAAGTAATTAAATCTTTAATTAACCTTGATTTACTATTTTATTTAAATACCATGGCAAATTTACTAAGAATAAAACCTAAAAACCAATTCTACTTCAAAAAATTTTACTTTTATCCTCGCAAGAAATGCGAAAATCCTTAAAATGAAAGAAGGCAATCGTACACCGCTGACTTTCTTGTCCGTAAGATTATGCGTATTTTCATAAGCCTTCGAATACAGCAAAGAACTGCAGTGCAAAAATTTTCACATTCATTGCACAAAAGATATTTTTTTAGAAATATTTATTAAATTTGAAAAAAAGTAATGGTTTATCAAAAAGCTTCCTTGCTTACTAAAATGTACTGCCTTCGATCATCCGATCTACAGCACGAGCAATCCCCCTGTCCTTAGTCGTCAAATCATCCTGAAAACTACTTTTCACATCAACCTTACTTTCTGTTTTCAACATACAGTTCCTATCAGAAATTCATGAAAATTTTTGCATTTTACCAGCAAATTTTCCAACTTCTTCATAAGACAGTTAAATTCTTCTTGCTTTTACTAGTAAGCTTTTACTGTTCCAAGTTCAGTTCGGTCTCTTTGTCAATCATAAAATAACAAATTTTACAGCTTCTCAAAAATAAAAATTTACATGGAGTTTAAAATGGTCCTGCAAATGTGAAATTATAAGTTGAGAGTCTGCAAGCTGTTTCCCGTTAATCTCGATAAATGGTAGTAACCCTTCTCGAGAGCGTGCTAGCCATGTAGAGCAAACCTGAAAGTAGAAAAGGTTGACAACTGTATCCCTATCCAAAAAAAATGTGATTATAAACGTGTGACTGCAAGCGGCTTTAAACCTCAACTAAGTAAATTAAATGCTATTTTTAATTTCTTTATTAATGATTTCAGCTCCTGTACAGAACCTAAATGTGAGATGTAGAGATTGTACTTTGAAAACAGCCGTTTAAATCAGACAAACTACTTGCCTTGTACCTGAGTTTGTTCGCACGAAGCCATGATTCAACTTTGAGACAAAATGGCGATAAATTTGGAGCAACAGGGGATTTATGAAACTGATGTAGATAAACGACATCTTGCTCCCAGTTCTCATCGTGAAGCTTTCGAAATACAGTTGGATAATGGAAGAAAAATTGAAAACATTTTGCCAGTATCAATCTTACAATTAGCAGTATACCAATAGCAGCCAAAATATAAAGCAAAAATTGCAGCATTTTGAGCAGAGTTGCCGAAAGTGCAGAGTAGATGCGGCAGTAAATCTAAAAAAGAGATAAATATCTGCTATTGTAAAAATCAGTTCTGCAATAGCAACAAATTCTGCCGATTCTATTCTATAAAATCCGACAAAATCAGCTTTAATTTCGCAAGAGAACAAACGATAGAAAATTAATCAAAAATCTAAAAATGAAATTATTTTTCTATAAAATATTTGCTAAGACTGAAACTGTTCACATAAATCTTGAAAAACTCATCAAACGGAAACTGATGACCATAGCGCCATGAAAACCAAAAGGTTTACTGCATAACCAATTCAGTTATCAGTGTTCAAACCCTTTTCGTACAATAGCAAAAATTTTTTAGTTATTCACACCTCACTACGCTAAAATTTCACTCCGAATTAGCTGTAATCTGGCACTTCTGGCACCATAGATCTTTAAAGCTTCTTTCCTACTGTTGGCTTCAACTGCTACTTCACATACTGCTTAACCATTTCCCGAAACTGCGTGATAAAGTATTAAAAATTAAACAAAGGAGTGCCTTTCAACTTTACATATTTTTTAAAATTCTTTAGTTACGCAAAACTTCTGTAGGAGCAAAAAAGAAATTTCCTGTTTACTTCAGAAGTAACCGGACTACCTGAAATTTCACTTTCCTCATCCATTTTTGGCAATTTTTCAAACTATAGTCCGTTTCATTTCCAATTTGGTGTGAAAATTTTTGCGAGCAGAGAAGCCCTCTTCTGGATGAATTTCAACGGTTTTGGCTCAATGCCACTGTGCATTAAAAAGGCAGCTGGGTGTTATCTGACTTCCATAAAAGTGTCATTAATTTTTGTTTGAGTTGTGTGCATGACGTACTGGTAATGTCTTTCCGTTTGTAGATGGTCAGCCTTTTTGTATTCCAAATTTCTCGCTGTTTGGTTCACATTCTGCCGAGATATTGATGGATATGTCGGAGGATTTTCATTTTTAAATGTTACTTTTTAACTTATTAACTGTTGTAATTTTGTTTGTATCCGTAGAAATTTCTTATTTTTTTGTTGTTGTGAGGGGCAGATATCGTAGATTACAAATATCTGAAAAAAAGGGGTTTGCCGAGCAATAATATAGAAGGAACGGTTTTAATGAAATAACTAAAGAAACACGATTTTTTAATATATGAAACAAGCTTATAGAAAGTTGCTGTAGGGGTAATTTTTGGGGAGGGAAAAGGAAAAAAAGGAAGAAAAAGGAACAGAGTTGTCATGCAGGTTTTTTATATTGAAATTCTAGTACAGCAGTAATCTAACACTAACCAATTTTCTGAAAGTAATCTTATTTTTTCGAGTAGAACTACTTATCGTAGTACTGTAGTAAAGTTGCATTATGAATATATAGTAT